AGTATAGTTGTCAGTGTCAGCATCCCAGAAACAGCGAGAAGCCATGCTAAAAAATCCAAGAATGAAGAATTATCAACAATCCAACAAGGACCTAAACAACACATATCTGCCATGAGCAAAAGTGTTCCTTAGTCCATTCTCAGATCTGTACTTCCAAACCTTTCACAGGTTGCTACCCACAGGATACTGTACTTGTACCGGAGAGTATACTGGGTCAGCTAGAGAAACTAGAGTCAGATGAAGCTGCTTGCGACTCTGACAGCCTCAGGCCCTGCCTAATGGTTATAAGGATCAATACTCGAGATTTGTGTGTGACTTTTAATGAGCTCAGCTCCTGCACAATAACAGGACAAGGAAGGCACACAAAGAGCCCAACAGATTTAGTCCAACCTGATCATTTTATAGAGTCCCAGAAAAAGGAGCAAACTCTGAACTAGAATTCAGTCTTCTAACCAATTATAACTCCAGAAATATCTCTACAGAATGCTAAACTCCGTCGAAACTGGATATTCTCCTCTCTGTAATTCTTGGATAAGAAAAAAATATTAGTCAAAATAAAAGCCAATTAAAAATCGAAACAACTTAAATGCCCAGTAGGACTGGATTGGTAAATGAAATTATGGTATTTCTCAGGATCCGAGAGAAAAGAGAAGAAAAAAGAAGAAATAATGATGTTTTCTGGCAACGAAATTCTATGTAGACCTTAAAGAAAAGTTTTGCAAGACACAGTGATGTGTCCCTGTAGTCCCAGCTACTCAGAAGGCTGAAGCAGGGAGTATCATTGGAGCCCAGGGCTGTAGTATGTGATGATCACACCTGTGAACAGCCACTGCACTCCAGCCTGGGAGACACAGCAGGACCCTGGCTCTTAAAAAAACAAATTCCAAGAACATGAAAAGCTATTCACAATATAATGTTGAGTGAAAAAACTAGGCCAGGCGCAGTGGCTCACACCTGTAATCCCAGCAGTTTGGGAGGCTGAGGTGGGTGGATCACCTGAGGCTGGGAGTTTGAGACCAGCCTGCCACATGATGAAATCCCATCTCTACTAAAAATACAAAAATTGGCTGGGCGTCGTGGCACACACCTGTAATCCCAGCTACTCGGGAGGCTGCGGCAGGAGAATCACTTGAACCCAGGAGGTGGAGGTTGCAGTGAGCTGAGATCGTGCCACTGCACTCCAGCCTTGGCGACAGAGACTCTGTCTCAAAAAATAATAATAAATAATAATAATGTTAAGTGAAAAAAAAATTACAAATGTTTTACATTTCTATTAAACTATGTGTATGATTTATCATGTAAACACTTATTGAGCACTCACTTTGTGCCATTCACTAGTCTTAAGTGTTTTACATGTATTAACTCACTGAATCCTATGAGGTACTATAATTATACCCATTTAGTGAATGTGAAAACTGAGGATTAGAGAAATTAAGTGCACAAGGTCATACAACTAGGTGACAAAGCTTGGCTTTGAATCCAGGCAGTCCACAACCCATACCTACAGAGAAAGATATATATATACCTTATATTATATTGGTTCTTTCTTTTCCTGAAACAAAAGGTCTCACATATTCATTACCGAACCCAGCCTACTATCGCAGGGCATATAAACAAAGAGAAAAAATATATTCCCAATAAAACACGTCCAACTGTCCAGATGGTGGTGACGTTTTCAGCTTGCGATGGTAAGACGGCCGTGACCCTGACACAGCGTGCATACGTGTGCCAGCCAGCTCATGTGCAGCTCCTTACAGACGCAGCTTGGCTTTTCGGCAACGTCTCCTTTCCAGTTGTGCCTCATTTTATTACCAGTTTTCGTCCAGATCCACTGGAGAATGGCACGATTTGGCTTTTGTTTCTTGGCCAGGAATCACTTAATTTTAAGACTTGTGAGAAGACATGACAAGAAGCAGAATCAAGCACACAGCACGAGAGTTGTTGTTTTGTTTTGTTTGTGAGACAAAAATACAAAATAGTGAGACCCCAATTCTTTTATTTACTTATATTTCTATTTCTATTTTAATTTTTTGAGAGGGAGTCCCACTCTGTCACCCAGGCTGGAGTGCAATGGCACAATCTCGGCTCACCACAACCTTCACCTCCCAGGTTCAAGTGATTCTCCTGCCTCAGCCTTCCAAGTAGCTGGGAATACACACGTGCACTACACATATGCCTGGCTAATTTTTGTATTTTTTGTAGAGACAGGGTTTCACCATATTGGCCAGGCTGGTCTCAAACTCCTGAGCTCAAGCATTTGGCCCCCTCAGCCTCCCAAAGTGCTGGGATTACAGGTGTGACTTGGAAGAGGCATAATGGTACAGGTTGTAGCAGGCAATGCTCCCACCAAGAACAGTAAGAAAAGCTGGATGAAATGAATCAGAGAGCTGCCAAAGCAAACAGGCCTAGAGCAGCCAAAATTCCAGAAAGAGGTGAACTGTAGGAGGTAAGCTGATATTCTGCAGCAGACTTTTTTCCTGGGGGATTTGCCAATTCAGGGCACAGGGCTGAGAATCTGGGCCTTGCCCAGGCAGAGAACCAATTACTGAGGGAAAATTAAACTAGTAGGAGAGTTGGCAGTCTTTACTTTTTTAAATTTTTTATTTATTAATTTTACTTTAAGGCAGAGTCTTGCTCTGTGGCCCAGGCTGGAGTGCAGCAGCACGATCTCGGCTCACTGCAACCTCTGCCTCCCTGATTCAAGCAATTCTCATGTCTCAGCCTCCCAAATAGCTGGGATTACAGGCATGCAGCACCATGCCTGGCTTTTTTTTTTTTTGAGATGGAGTTTCGCTCTGTCACCCAGGCTGGAGTACAGTGGCGCAATCTTGGCTCATGGCAACTATCACCTCCCGGGTTGAAGTGATTCTCCTACCCCAGGCCCCAAGTAGCTGGGATTACAGCAGCCCGCCACCACACCCAGCTAATTTTTGTATTTTTAGTAGAGATGGGGTTTCACCATGTTGGGCAGGCTGGTCTCAAACTCTTGACCTCCAGTGATCCACCCACCTCGGCCTCCCAAAGTGCTGGGATTACATGCATGAGCCACCGTGCTTGGCCCTAATTTTTTGTATTTTTGGTAAAGACAGGGTTTCACCATATTGCCCAGGCTGGTTTCCAACTCCTGAGCTCAGGCAATCTGCCCGCCTTGGCCTTCCGAAAGTGGTAGGATTACAGGAGTGAGTCGCTGTGCCCAGCCGAGTCGGCAGTCTTAACAAAGCTAAGGAGGTAAAATGAGAGTCTGGAGGGAAGAAGATCCCATAAAAAAGGAAAAAGTAGAACTAAGCCTATCACATGGTAGGTTTTCTTTTCAAGATATGCTGAATTCAGGCCGGGCGCGGTGGCTGACGCCTGTAATCCCAACATTTTGGGAGGCCGAGGCGGGCAGATCACGAGGTCAGGAGATCGAGACTATCCTGGCTAACACGGTGAAATCCCGTCTCTACTAAAACTACAAAAAATTAGCCGGGCGTGGTGGCGGCGCCTGTAGTCCCAGCTACTCAGGAGGCTGAGGCAGGAGAATGGCAGGAACCCGGGAGGCGGAGCCTGCAGTGAGCGGAGATCGAACCACTGCACTCCAGTCTGGGCAACAGTGCAAGACTCAGGAAACTGTAAGTAGGAACCTAAAAAGCTAAGTGTCCTGACCAATATAATGGTCCTCCAGGTATGTCTATGTCCCAACCCCCATAACCTGTGACTATGTTACCCCCATAACCTGTGATCATGTTATGTTACATGGCAAAAAAGTATTTTGCAGATGTTTGATTAAATTAAGGTCTTGAAACAGGGTTATCCTGGATTATTCAGGTGGGTCCAGTTAAATCACAAGGGTCTCATAAAAGTCAGAGTCAGAGAGTTGAAGAGGTTGTTGGCTTTGAAATCGGAGGAAACGGTTTGTGGGCTAAGGAGTTCAGGGGCCTCTAACTGGAACAGACAAGGCAACGGCTTATGGACTATAAGGAATCAGGGCCTCTAACTGAACAGACAAGGAACGGCTAGGCTATAAAGGAGTTCAGGGCCTCTAACTGAACAGACAAGGGAAACGTTTATGGGCTATAAGGAGTCTAGGGTTTCTAACTGAACAGACAAGGGAACGAAGCCAGGGTTGGGCTATATGATTCAGGGCCTCTAACTGAACAGACAAGGAAATGGATTCTCTATCAGAGCCTCCAGAAGGAATGCAGCCCTGCTGACATCTTCTATTTCAGTTCAATGAAACCCATTTGGTTTCTGACCTCCAGAACTGTAAAATAATATATTTGTGCCATTTTAAGCACTAGGTTTGTGATAATTTGTTACAGCAGCAACAGGAAACTAGTACGCTAAGGAAAAAGCCTATGACATGAAGAGCAAAGTTTTATGCTGAGGAGACAAGATCTGAAAGTCAGTACCTGTTGGAGGTAGAGGCCTGTAGAGGCCTAATGAGCACTCGAGGTTCTTGGTTGAAAGACTTGGAGGGCTACAATTAAGAAACAAGGGGGCCGGGCACAGTAGCTCATGCCTGTAATCCCAGCAGTTTGGGAGGCCGAAGCGGGTGGACCACCTGAGGTCAGGAGTTCGAGACCAGCCTGGCCAACATGGTGAAACCCCATCTCTACTGAAAATACAGAAATTAGCCTGGCTTGGTGGGGGGCGACTATAATCCCAGCTACTCGGAAAGCTGAGGCAGGAGAATCACTTGATCCCGGGAGGCTGAGGTTGCGGTGAACCAAGATTGTGCCATTGCACTCCAGCCTGAGCAACAAGAACAAAACTCTTTCTCCAAAAAAAAAAAAAAGAAAGAAAGAAACAAGGGTGAGGCCGAGGCAGGAGAATCACTTGAGCCAAGGACTTCAAGACCAGCCTGGGCAACATGGTGAAACCCCATCTCTACAAAAACATACAAAAATTAGTTGGGCATGGTGGCTCATGCCTACGGTCCTAGCTACTCGGGAGGCTGAAGCAGGAGGATCACTTCAGCCCAGGAGCCGGAGGTTGCAGTGAGCTGAGATCGCACTACTGCACTCCAGCCTGAGCAACAGAGTTGAGACTCTGTATCAAGAAAGAAAAAAAAACAAAAAAAATGATGAATTTAAGATAGGGCCTTTTTAAAACTGCAACTCTCAGATGAGCTGACACAAGAAAATAAAATTTTTAAAAAAGATCAAACTATAACCCAACCTCAATTCAGCTCAGTACCTGAAGGTAAGCAGCCAATACTCTTCCCACACAGCAGAAGAGTTAAATCCTTTCTGGAAGAAAATAATATCATCTGGAGGTCTATGGTTCTTTTAAACGATGTCTAGGATTCAAACTAGGCATGCCAAGAGACAAAGCCATATACGTGATTATCAAGAAAAACACAATGGAAACAAACTCACACATGACTCAGATACCAGAGTAAGCATAAAACAACCTTCAAATCACTATTGTGGCCGGGCGCCGTGGTGCGCCTGTAATCCCAACACTCTGGGAGGCTGAGGGGTGCGGATCACTTGAGATCAGGAGTTCCAGATGAGCCTGGTCAACATGGTGAAATCCTGTCACTACTAAAAATACAAAAATTAGCCGGGTGTGGTGGTGGGCACCAGTAATCCCAATTACTCAGGAGGCTGAGGCAAGAGACTTGCCTGAACCCAGAAGGTGGAGGCTGCAGTGAGCCGAGATGGCACCACTGCACTCCAGCCTGGGCGACAGACTGAGACTGTCTCAAAAATAGAATAAAATAAAATAAAATAACTAGTATGACTAAAATGTAGAAAGAGTGGGGAGCAATAGAAAAATATACGAATTGGCTGGGCGCAGTGGCTCATGCCTGTAATCGCAGCACTTTGAGAAGCCCAGCCCGGCTAACATGGTGAAACCCCATCTCTACTAAAAATACAAAATTTAGCTGGGCGTGGTGTCGCATGCCCATAGTCTCAGCTACTTGGGAGGCTGAAGCACGAGAATCGCTTAAACCCGGGAGGCAGAGCTTGCAATGAGCCGAGGCCGCGCCACTGCACTCCAGCCTGGGCGACAGAGCGAGACTCCGTCTCAAAAAAGAAAAATATATAAACTGAAGCACAGACAGGAAAAAGAAAAATCAGAAAAAAGCATAAGAGACATACGGAATACAGAGAAAAGACCAAACGCACATGTAACCTAAGTCCTAAAAAGCGAGCAGAGCGGATGGAGCAGAAGCAGTGTTTTAAAAGAGAACAGGCACCTCTAGGGCCCTGAGCTTCATTTCTAATGCCATTCTCCAACACAATGAACAGGGGCTCCTTGGAGAAACAGCTGAATTCTAGGGCTGGGGCAGGGAATAAACACAATGCAGCTTCTTATAGTGCTAGAAAGTAAGGAAGTGCTCAAAGAAACCCACAAGAGTAGAGTCAGTGGGACACAGGAATCCACTGAAAGCTCTCAGGGGCCACAGCCGGACCAGTCAGCACTCCCAGCTCACTGGCTCCCCCAACCCACCGAGCTGTCTTTAAAAACTCTGCTCCTCAAACGCTGGGGAGGCTGATGCGTGAATTACTCTTTCTCCATTGCGATTCCTCTGAATCCGCTCTGTCTAGGCAGAGGGCAAGGTGAACCCACTGCGCAGTTATAGAAAGAGTAACTTTACAGTGATGAAACCTGAAAAGCACTACCTCAGGCAGGTAGTCAAAGTTCACATGAATAGTGATATGTCGTGTTGACAGTATGTACCATTGATATGATATGACGAGAATGGCATTTGACCTCTGTGATCTTCCTTCCAGAAACCTGTAACCCCAGACTAATCATTAGCAGAAAACTCCCAATGGAGGAACATTCTACAAAATACCTAACCAGTGCTCCTCAAAAATGTCAAGGTGATGCCAAGCAAGAAAGTCTGAGAAACTGTTACAGCCAAGAAGAGCCTAAAGAGACATTTAATGCTGCATCCTAGAAAGAATCCTAAAGCAGAAAAAGGACTTTAGGAAAAAACTAAATAAATCAGAACAAAGTTTTATTTGATAACACTGTATCAACATTGGTTCACTGATTTTCACAAATGTTCCACACTATGTAGATGGTAACAACAGGGACTGCTATTGGTTCATTCATTTTAACAAATGCTCCATTCGATGGAGATGGTAACAATAGGAAGTCCAGGTGCGGCAGACCATGCCTGTAACCCCAGTGTTTTGGGAAGCCGAGGCAGGAGGACTGGTTAAGCCCAAGAGGTCAAAGCTGCAGTGAGCCATGATGACACCACTGCACTCCAGCGTGGGTGACAGAGCAAGAACTGTCTCAATACTATATTCTATATATATAGAATATATTCTATATTCTATTACTATATTCTTATACTAATAGGGGAAACTGGGTGTGGAGTACATGCAAACTCTGCAACTTTTCTATAAATCTAAAACTATTTTAAAATAAAAACTTGATTTTTTTATTTTTTATTTTTTTATTTTGAGACAGAGTCTCACTCTGTTCCCCAGGCTATTTTTTATTTTTTATTTTGAGACAGAGTCTCACTCTTGTTCCCCAGGCTAGAGTGCAGTGACATGATCTCAGCCTACTGCAACCTCCACTCCCAGGTTCAAGCAATTCTCCTCTCAGCCTCCCATGGCTGGGGTTACAGGTGTCACCACCACGCCCGGCTAATTTTTTGTAATTTAGTAGACATGGGGTTTGCCATGTGGGGCTGGCCAGGCTGGTCTCGAACCTTGACCTCAAGATCCACCGCACCTCTGCCTCCCATGCTTGGGATTACCAAGAGTTGTTCGCATATGGCCAAAAACAATTTTTTTTTTTTTTTTTGAGACAGAGTCTCACTCTGTCGCCCAGGCTGGAGTGCGCTGGCGCCATCTCTGCTCACTGCCCGCTCCTGCTCACGCATTCTCCTGCCTCAGCCTCCCGAGTAGCTGGGACTACAGGCACCCACCAACACGCCCGGCTAATTTTTAGTATTTTTAGTACAGATGGGGTTTCACTGTGTTAGCCAGGATGGTCTCGATCTCCTGACCTCGTGATCCGCCCACCTCAGCCTCCCAGCGCCGGGATTACAGGAGTGAGCCACCAATGCCCGCCAAAACTATTTTTAACAAAGGCAATGGCTAAGAATTTTCCCAAACTGATGAAAAATCAACCTGAAGGTGCAGTGGCTCATACCTGTAATCCCAGGACTTTGACATAAGCGTGGTGCTGGGCACCTATAATCCCAGCTACTTGGGAGGCTGAGGAAGGAGAATCTCTGAACCCGGAGGCAGAGCATGCAGTGAGCCAGCACGTACCCACTGCACTCCAGCCTGACGAGACAAGAGCAAAACTCTATCTCAAAAAACAAAACAAAATCAACCCATAGATTCAAGAGACGGAGCTCCAAGCAGAATAAATATAAAGAAAGTAATAGTGGCTAGAGAGAACACATCATCTTCAATTGAATAATAAAACTTACAGCTGACTTATGAATGAAAAACAATGGAAACTAGAAGACAATATAACTAATGACATTCATCACTGCATCATATCACTCACTCTACCTACCTACCTACCTATCTGAGGCAGGGTCTCACTCTGTCACCCAGGCTGGAGTGCAGTGGCACAATCACGGCTCACTGCAGTCTCAACTCCTCCTGGGTTGGAGGACCTCAAGCCGTCCTCCCACCTCAGCCTCGCAGGTAGCTGGGACCACAGGCGTGTGCCACCATGCCCAGCTAATTTTTGTATTTTTTTGTAGAGACAGGGTTTTGCTGTGTTGCCCAGGCTGGTCTGGAACTCCTGGGCTCAAGTGATCCTCCTGTCTCAGCTTCCCAAAGTGCTGGGATGACAGGTGAGCCACTATGCTCAGGCCTCTTATAATTTTATAACAGAGATGGATCCAGCTGACAGTATCTTGAACTCACTTCATCAACCTTAACTAACGGGTAAAAAGAGATGATAAGCTTGTACCTCCTGAGAAGATGTAAACAGATGTACAGAAAACAGTCTTTCCTAACCTCAAACCTATGGCTAATTAAGACTAGGACCTAACTACTTCATTTTCAAGAAGTACAGGAAATAGAAGACATACTTAAACAATACCATAGGTATATAACCAGCAAATGCCAGAATATAGGGTGCACCTCACAGACAAACCAACTCTTCAACAACAAATGGCGGGAAAATAAATAAATAAAATAAATAAATAAATAAATAAATAAATAAATGACTGGCATGGTAATACTACACCTGCAATCCCAGCACTTTGGGAGGCGGAGGTGGGTGGATCACCTGAGGTCAGGGGTTCAAGACCAACCTGGTCAACATGGTGAAACCCTGTCTCCACTAAAAATACAAAAATTACCTGGGCGTGGTGGTGGGCACCCAGAATTCAGCCACCGGGAGGCTGAGGCAGGAGACCACGAACCTGGCAGGCAGAGGTTGCAGTGAGCCGAGATCGCCACTGCACTCCAGCCTGGGTGGAGGAAGCCAAGACTCCATCATAAAATAAAATTAAATGGCAGGATTGGGTGCAAGAGGAAAGAGAAATGAGGCAGCAAAAATGACAGATTGTATAAATTTAAAGCCAGATGCCGTGGTGTGCACCTATAGTCCCAGCTACCTGGCAGGCTGAGGTGGGATGACCACTTGAGCCAAGGAGTTCTAGTCTGTAGTGTGTTATGATCACGCCTGTGAATTAGCCACTGCACTCCAGCCTGGGCAATACAGCAAGATCCTATGTCTTAAAAAAAAAAATCCTAATTTAATATTAACCAAAATGCAATGTGTAGACCTTATTTGAATCTTAATTTGAGAAAATTGTAAAAAGAAAATGAATAGTCTTGGCATGTTGGGTCAAACCTGTAATTCCACCACTTTAGGGAGGCCGGGTTACCGTGAACTGCCTGAGCCCCAGGAGCTTAAGACTGACTGTCAACAGAGCGTGACCCATCTCTGCAAAAAATAATAGAAAAATTGTGGCCAGGTGTGGTGGTGCACATCTTGCAGTCCCATTACTCAGGAGGCTGAGGTGGGAGGATCACTTGAGCCCAGGAGGCCAAGGCTGCAATGAGCTGATAGGTGCCACTGCACACCAGCCTGGGCATAAATGAGACCCTGCCCTTTAAACAAAAAAAAAAAAGAAAAGAAAGAAAACATATATATACATATATGAGGCAATCTAGGATATCTGAACAATAATGGCATATTTTACAGATATTAAGGACTGACAATATTTTAGAGATAATAAAGATATTTAATTTATTTATTTTTGAGATAGAGTCTCGCTTTGTCACCCAGGCTGGAGTGTATCGCGAAGTGATTCCGGCTGCTCACCAACCTCAGCCTGGGTCAATAATTTTCAACCAGCTCTCCTGAGGCTGAACTGGCAGGTGTGCCATCACACCCAGCCACTTGGCTTTAGCAGACGGGTTTCACCATGTTGGCCAGGCTGGTCTTGAACTCCTGACGCCAGGTGATCCGCCTGCCTCAGCCTCCCAAAGTGCTGGGATTACAGGTATGACCCACCGCACTACAGGCCCCCCTACTCTTGTAAAGACACTCTTACCGAATTGTCAAAAGGACAGATAATTTCGTAATATAGATGAATAAAACAAGAAGGAAAAATCCAGCTACTCACAATACTCCTTCACCTCTTTGTTCTCCAATCACTACTTGCACCACCATTTTGTATCGGTCAAATCCCATTTCTAGAAAGAAAAATGTTTGTTTATAAGTAAATATGTAGTAAAATTCATTATTGAGTATAACTTTTGCCTAGAAATGACAAAACATTCAATCCACAAGTAATTTAATGAATATGATGGTAAGCCTGGGAGTCAGGAAGACATGAGGACAGACCCTAACTGTAACTCACCAGGTGTATAACCTTAGAAAGTGATTTAACTCTCCACGGTCCCCTCATTAAACAGGAATATCAGCACTACTCTCCTAGGGTTGTTATGTTAGATAAGATAGATAGTAGTATCTTTGTATTTTTTTTTGAGATGGATTCTCGCTCTGTTGCCCAGGCTGAGTGCAAAGGCAAGATCTCGGCTCACCACACAACCCTCTGTCTCCGGTTCAAGTGATTCTCCTACCTCAGCCTCCTCAGTAGCTGGGACTACAGGTATGCACCACCACCTCCGGCTAATTTTTGTATTTTTAGTAGTGTTGCGCTTTCACCATGTTGCCCAGGCTGGTCTCGAACTCCCACCCCAGGTGATCCACCACCTTGGCCTCCCAAAGTGCTGGGATTACAGGAAAAGGAGCCACTGCACCTGACTAGATATAGTGACCTAAAGCATCTAAACAGTGCTGTTAAATACTAGTCCCTCAATAAACCTTACTTCCTTCCTTTTTCCCCTACTATAAGTCAGCTACTGAGCTGAACCTTCAAGACAGAGAAATAAAGAAGACGCGCCTTGCCTTAAAGAACCTGGCAGTAGTAAAGAAATTCAAAGGACAATAGAAAAATAGGCCCGGCATGGTGGCTCACGCCTGTAATCTCAGCACTGAGCTTCGAGGCCGTGGATCACCTGAGGCCAGGAGTTTGAGACCAGCCTGGCCAATGTGGTTAAACTCCTGTCTCTATTAAAAATATAAACATTAGCCAGGCATGGTGGCAGGTGCCTGTAATCCCGGCTACTCGGGAGGCTGAGGCAGGAGAATTTCTGAACCTGGGAGGCAGAGGTTGCAGAGCCAAGATCGCACGCATTGCACCAGTCAGGGCGAAGGGGCGGCAAACTCCCACTCAAAAAAAAAAAGAAAGAAAAAGAAAAGGAAATAGAAAATAAATTGAGAATGAATATGCTTTGCACTAAGGAGTGTATGTACGATGTACACCAGGAACACAGAGCCAGTGCGGGCAGTTCCTCTGTCTGGGCAGTGGCAAGAAATCACTGGAGAAGACTTCTGAGGATGTGGCCGCCAATAAGCTGAGCCTGAGGGCTGAGGAGAGGGGACCAGTCAGCCCTACTCTCCAGATGCTGAGACAAAGAGGGCCGTGCACAGCAGGAAGGCAAGTGTATCTCTCAGAAATCAGGCTGTTTGGTCAGACAGACAAGAAAATGAAAGATTCCAGAGCAAAATGAGGATTCACATTTAGCTGTTTACCCAGAAACTACATCTAAAGCAGCAAAATCCTGAAAAATTATCACTAAATATAATTTTAGCGAGGAAAACGGAATGGGCATTTTAAATTTTCACTTTTTTGACCAAGGAATAGTGGAAAATTTTTTTGTTAAAAAAAGGAATAAGCGAAGCTGAAACAGATTTTAGCTCTTCTGATGAACGATAGGTTCCGTAAGATTCCATTGTAAACTGGACCATCTGAAGACTACAGCGATCTCCCATGTGGGGTATGAGCCTAATTCAGAGTGTTTAACAAAATCCTGGGCAAGACAGAGTCCAAGTAGTTTTGGGAAAACATCATACATAACCTTGAAGCAGAGCTTCTCTCACCAATTCCGAATCCTACAGAAATGTGTCTAGTTAATAATACCAACCCTTAAATCTATATGTCTCCAGGAAAATTATCTCAGAGGAGCAGGGGAGAGGGGAACTTAAAAAAACCCACATCTTATAAGCGCAATTAAAAAATCCCCCATCATATCAGAGGAATTAAAAATCCTCACATCATATCAGCAATTAAAATCCCCATCATATCAGAGTAATTAAAATCCCCCCATCATATCAGAGCAATTAAAATCCCCCATCATAATTAGAGTAAATTAAAAATCCTCTCCATCACATCAGAGCACCAAAACTCTAATGAACAGAACAATTAAAAATCCTCCATATCAGACACTGCAATCCTCCCATCGTATCAGAGCAATTAAAAATGCCCTCATCGTATCAGAGCAATTAAAATCCACCCATCGTACAGAGCAATTAAAAATCCCCCATCATATCAGAGTAATATAATCCTCATCATATCAGATAATTTAAAAATCCCCATCATATCAGAGCAATTAAAAATCCTCTCTAATAATCAGAGCACTAAAACTTCATCATATCAATTAAAAATCTCATCATATCAGAGCAATACAACTTCATCATATCAGAGCAATTAAAAACTTCATCATATCAGAGCAATTAAAATGCTCCCATCATATCAGAGCAATTAAAAATGCCCCCCATCATATCAGAGCAATTAAAAATCCCCCCATCATATCAGAGCAATGAAAAATCCCCCATCATATCAGAGCAATTAAAATCCCCCATCATATCAGATCAATTAAAAATCCCCCCATCATATCAGAGCAATTAAAAATTCCCCCACTTCATCAGAGCAACTAAAATCATCATATCAGAGCAATTAAAAATCCTCATCATATCAGAGCAATTAAAAATCCCCACTGGTATCAGGAGCAATTAAAAATCCTCCATATCAGAGCAATTAAAAATCCTTATCAGAGCAATTAAAAACTTCACTGGCATCAGAGCACCAGGTAATCCCCATCATATCAGATTTAATTAAAATCCCCCATCATATCAGAGCAATTAAAAATCCTCATCATATATCAATTAAAAATCCCCATCATATCAGAGCAATGAAAAAATCCCCCATCATATCAGAGCAATGAAAATCCCATCATATCAGAGCAATGAAACTTCCACTGCATCAGAGCAATGAAAATCCCCCATCATATCAGAGCAATGAAAATCCCCCATCATATCAGAGCAATGAAAATCCCATCATATCAGAGCAATGAAAATCCCATCATATCAGAGCAAATGAAAAAATCCCTCCTCATCATATCAGAGCAATTAAAAGCAATCCTCATCATATCAGAGCAATTAAAATCCCCCATCATATCAATTAAAATTTCCCACTTGTTATCAGACAATGAAAAATTCCCCATCATATCAGAGCAATGAAAATCCTATCATATCAGAGCAATGAAAAAATCCCCATCATATCAATTAAAATCCTCATCATATCAGAGCAATTAAAAATCCTCCATCATATCAGAGCAATTAAAAATCCCCATCATATCAGAGCAATGAAAAATCCCATCACATATTTGCAGAGCAATGAAAATTTCCATCATATCAGAGCAATGAAAAATCCTTGACTGAGCATTAACAGAGCAATGTGAAAAATCCCCCCATCAGTATCAGAGCAATTAAAATCCCTCACTCATATCAGAGCAATTAAAAATCCCCATCATATCAGAGCAATGAAAATCCCCCATCATATCAGAGCAATGAAAAATCCCCCCATCAGTATCTGAGCAATGAAAATCTCATCATATCAGAGCAATGAAAATCCCCCATCATATCAGAGCAAACAGTAATCTCTCATCATATCAGAGCAATTATTAAAATCCCCCATCATATCAGAGCAATGAAAATCCTTTACTCATATCAGAGCAATTAAAAATCCTCCCATCATATCAGAGAATTAAAAATCCTCATCATATCAATTAAAAATCCCCCATCATATCAGAGTAATGAAAACTTCACTCATATCAGAGCAATGAAAATCCCATCATATCAGAGCAAATTAAAAATCCCATCATATCAGAGCAATTAAAAATCCTTCATCATATCAGAGTAATGAAAATCTCACGCCAAGATCAGAGCAATTATGATGTATGGCCACAATAAATGAAATGCAGCCAAATGGTACAAACAACAAAAGATGCAGTCACAAAACAAAAGAGTAACAAAGAAGCATGAGTTATTTAAAAGTCAGAACACATTCAATCCCAGCACTTTTGGGAGGCTGAGGTAGGAGGATCTCTTGAGGCCAGGAGTTCAAAACCAGCCAGTAAAATAGACAAGACCACCATCTCCACAAACATTTTTTTTTTTGAGACGGAGTTTACCTTGTTACTAGGCTGAAGTAAAATAGCGCGATCTCAGCTCACCGCGAACTCGGCCCCGGGTTCAAGCAATTCCTGCCTCAGCCTCTGCAGAGGGCTGGGATTGCAGGCTGCAGCACACACCTGCCACCTAGCCTTTAGCAGGATGCCTTCTCCATGTTGGTCACACGACCTCAAAACCCACCTCAGGTGATCCATCTGCCTCAGCCTCCCAAAGTGCTAGGATTACAGGCATGAGCCATCGTGACTTTGGTCCACAAAATAATTTTTCAAAAATATTGCAGAAAAGAAAAAAGAAACTTCAAGTGGAAGGAAGGAGGGAGGGAGTTGTGTAATAGAAAAATGACTGGGCACGGTGATCAACTGGAGAAACCCCATCTCTACGAAAAGTACAACATTAGCGGGGCATGGTGGTGCACGCCTGTAATCCCAGCTACTTGGGAGGCTGAGGCAGGAGAATCGCTTGAACCCGGGAGGCAGAGGTTGCACTGAGTCAAGATCGCACCATTGCACACCAGCCTGGGAATACATCTGAACTCATTGCAAAAAAAAATAAAGAAAAAAAATCAACCTAGAAAATAATACAAATCAACGAACAAAGAGTTATCTTACATTTACTCGCAATACTAGAACAATGTAAGCTTATAAACTCAGTGAAACAAGAACTCAATTCAGGGTTATGGATTTTTTTTTTTTTTTTTTTTTTTTTGGAGACAGAGTTTTGCTCTTGTCGCCCAGGCTGGAGCGCAATGGCAAGATCTCGGCTCACTGCAACCTCCACCTCCCAGACTCAAGCAATTCTCCTGCCTCAGCCTCCCAAGTAGCTGGGATTACAGGCATGCACCACCATGCCCAGCTAAATTTTGTATTTTAGTAGA